GGAACTTTCTTGGTATAATAAACTTATTCAAGTCCTGTAAATCCAAAATTGGACGTAGACCCCCGTCCCGCTTGGGGACCGTAAAGTATCTGGAATAGAATCCGTGGAGTCCGTCAGATGGGAATACTTGACGTATCGCTCCTTTAAGGAGAAGTTGATGTATTTCGTTGAGAAGTACCGGCGAACATGAAGTAGACCAGATCGGACTCGATGGCGGGACGATGTCGAATTCTATTCGACAGCCGTATTGAACGACGGACAATACCCACCGGTCAGATGTGATGGACTCCCAAATGAGGAGTCGGCTTTGGAGCCGGTCCCCAGATGAGAGGGGGGTGCGTATTAAAGGAGCGTGAGGAGTGGTTCGCCAGTCCCGTCAGCGTTGTCTCCGATTGTTGAAGCGACGGCGGCCCTGTTGGAAGTGCTGCTGGGGCTGAGGACGGTGACGCTGCTGCTGTTGTTGCTGGCGAGGTTGCGGCAGCTGTCTCTGTTGGTATGGCTGCCTGTAGGATGGCCGATTCCAGGACCACTTACGTCTGCTATGTGACTGGATCTCCATCCTGCGCGCCGTCATTCTTGACTCGTGTAGTTTCTTGAGTTTATGGTCGGTGCGTGAATGGAAGAGTCCCGAGCCGTCAAAAGGCATCTCTTCTATTTGCCGCTTCATCTCCTCCGGGAAATTACAACTCTGAAGCCATGCGTGTCTCCGGAGGGAAACGGCACCGACCAAGGCCCGGGAGTCAGTGTCCACGTGGTGACGTGCCGTGGACAACTGCTGCACCGCGACCTGCATGGCTTCTTTGATCAGGACCTTCGCAAGGTCACCCTGGTGGTTTGGGAGGGTGGAGGCGACGTTGTGGAGGCGCTGCATAATAAAATATTGATAGCGCGCCAACGTCGCCTCATAGTTAGAAATGCGAAGTCCTAAGCCCGAGGCAGCATAGACCCGCCTGGCCAGGGAATCTATTTTCCGGCCCTCCTTATCCCTCGGCGCCGTATGACCCCTTGCCTCCCTGCCTTGCGAGGATTTGACGACCTCCGAGTTTGGTTTCGGGTGCTTTAACAGGAAGGGAATGTCTTCTTCCCTGACCCTGTACATAGATTCATATCTCCTGGACGTCGGTTGAGGATGTGAAGGTAGGTCCCAGGGCTGCGTCATCGCCTGCCGCAGGGTAGTTATAAGTGGCAGAACGACAGAGGTCGATTGCTCCCCGCGGACGTCGTAAAACTTATCCGTCGACGGTCCCGGGCGCTGGGCAGCATCGATGTCCAGGGACTGGACAAGCCTCGACATCAGCTCCGCGAAGGAGACGTGTGACTCATCGGGTGACACAGGATCCTGGGATGTCACCACGACGTCCGGGGAGGTTGAGTCTACATCAGAGTCATCCGAATCAGCACCATAGTATGGCGGGGCAGAAGATGATGACTCCACCGGTGATAAGGAGCGGCTGCTTCCGCTTTGCGGGGATCGAGGCGGTACCCTCCTCGAATCCACAGGCCGCGGTTGGTCACGGGGCGGAGGTGAGGATCGCGCTCTGGGAGCAGGGTAGTATCCCACAGAGAGCGGGTCTCCCCAAGGTTGGCAGTAGGGACGACGGCAACTCTCCGGGCGTTGTTCTACCGAGCGGCTCCTCCGATTCCCTGGTGGGGACAGGCCAGCTTCTGTCTCCAATGTCACCGCGGGCATCGGTGTCGGTGACCTCGCTCTGGGAGGGGAGTCCTGAATTTCCCCATCCGAGATAGACCCCCGTAGAGTTGGAAGGGGTGCAGGCGGGAGGTCGACCACACGTCGGGGAGACCCCTGAGGGGTGACCCGCATAGCCTCTTGAAGGATCAGTATCGTAACCGCCACCGGTACCGAAGCGCCCGTCGGCTCCGAGTCCCGATTTTGGGAACAATCCGTAGACTTAGCCTTCTTTGGAGGCTTAGAGGCCTTTTCCTTTCTGGCCTTCTTATGGCCTGCCGGCTTGTCTTCGGCATGTTTGTGCTTCTCATGCCTCTTTTTTGGTGAGGCAGAGGGGGCCAGCGAAGCAGACGCGCCTTCATCCAAAGGGCGTGAGGGTGGAGCCACAGAAGCGGAGCCCGGTTTTGGAGTAGAGATGAGCGGGTCTGATTGCATCAGAACCCTATCCCAAAGGAGCCTCCGAAGCCGGTTTTCGCAGTTCTTCCTAGCCTGCTTAGAGAAGGCTAGGCAATGAACACACTTATCCGTCCTATGCCCCTCCCCAAGGCAGAGGAGGCATAGGTCGTGCGGATCAGTAGGTGCCATTTTTGACCCGCAGTCAGCACATTTGCGGAAAGCCGCCCGCTGCGCCATCGCAGAAAAGGGAAGAAAAGAGAGATAGTGCAGAGGGTAAGTATATATTTTTGTTTTTTGTTTTTTTTTGGATCGAAGAAGAAATGAGAGAAAACTACACAGAACGGGAGCGAAGTAAGGGGAAAGTAGTTTAAGGCAATATATAAGGAGAGAACCAAGAATAGCCAAAGCGAAGGTTGAAAGTGGTGCGAGGCACAGCAAACGGCGGTCGCAAAGACTGAACAAATGGCAGACGCTCCGCTCTTTATAGCCCATGGGGGAGGGGAGCGGAGCTTCCCGCCAAAAACCATTAGCTTTCAATCTTCCGGCCAAAGGCACTGCGCAGGCGCAGTACCCATACGTGTGATGCACAGAGGCCATGATGAAGAACCACCCACTAACAGCACTTCACACTTATCAGGACTAACTTTCAGTTTGTCCTCATACAGTCTATTGTCACAGCCAGGTACTGGCTTAATTTATCTACAGCCTCACCTGCTGAAGATGAAAATGAGAAACATAGCTGTGTGCCATCAATACACTGATGGTAATGTGCTCCAAAACTCCAGATGACCCTACTTGGCAGTTTCATTCACATGTTGAATACCATGGGGGACAGAACTGACTCCTGAGAAACTGCATATTGGAGAGTCCACAGAGCCTATGTAGGAGCAGAGCCACTGTAATGCAGTTCCTCCCATTCCCAACTCAGACAGCTGCCCCAGAAGGAAACCATGGTCAATGGTAATGAAAGCTGCTGAGAAATCCAGCAGTATCAGCAGGGTCACATACCCCATCTCTCTTCTGACAAAATTCATCACACAGGGTAATGAAAGGTGTTTCCAAGACAAAACCAGTTCTGAACACCAACTGCAATGAATCCAGATGATCTGTCTCATTCAAGTGTGCCTGGAGCTGCTTAGTTACAATCTGATCTTGCAGATGAAAGGGGTATTTACCACCAGCCTTAAATTGTTGAGAACTTCTGGGTCCAGGGTGTGTTTCTTTATGAGTGGCCTCACCCCCACCTGTTTTAAGTGGCAACAAACACTCCCTCTGGCAAAAAGGCATTGATCACCCCCTTGGTCCAGCTGGCTGCTTCCTCCCTGCTACTTTTTATAAGCCTAAAGGGACAATGATTCAGTACAGAGGTAGTTCCATGAACCTGTCCAAACACCATGTCAACATCCAACAGAATTCATCCAATAAAATTAGACCAAGCTGTACTCTGGGTACCTCGCCAGGTGCAACTGCTATAGCATTGGAGTTTAAGTCCTGGTGGATGCAGGAAATCCTAGCACATATTATCACAGCAGGCTTCAGATGGTCCTTGGGGTCACTGTGTAATAGGATCTAGACCATGGATCCTCAAACTACAGCCCAGGGGCTGGATCCAGCCCACCATGCCCATTTATCTGGCCCACCATGCCCATTTGGGCCCGCCGCCGCCCACCTCGCCCTGCGTGCAGGAAGGCAGCGGTTCGCTCGGAGAAAATGATCGCCAAGTGAGCAAGCCGCTGCTTCATGTGCCCACCTCACGGCACGTGCCCGCCCCCACCCCCGCCTCAGTGTGTGTGCCGCCCGTGCCGGCCTGCACGCACTGCCGGCATCACCTTTCCGGCCCACGCCCAGCACCAGCAGGTTTCAACTGGTGAAAGTTTGAGGACCCTAGACAATCCTAAAGGGCTCTAATGGACAGTAAAGGGAAGACTGACTAGAGGCAGTGGGATGTATCTTTGTCACCCAAAGCCCACATTAGCAGCCTTTTTGCTGCATTCTGCACCAGCCACAATGTCCAGCCCCAGCTCTATACTGATTGCATTACAATAATCCAATTCTGAGGTTACTAATGCCCATGTTTTCAATACAGAAGGTCCTGAATTTAATCCTAGAGTTCACCAGTTAAAGAAGAACAGGTAGGTAATGGGGAAAGTCCTGTGCCTGAGACACTGGGAAGCTGCTGCCAATTAAAGCAGATAATACTAATTTGGAGCAATGGTGTTGAAACTCCTTCAGGTCAGTGGCCAAATCCAATTTCACAGAAGCTCTTGGGGGCACATTTCAGTAGTGACTGAAGGCAATAGTAAACACTGTAAAACACTGGCATATTTTAGCCTAAAGATCTTACTGTCAATCATTAAGCTTAGAAAGGCATTTCAACTTTTAAGTGTGCAATCTTATGCATGTTTATACTGAAAAAGTCCTACAACTTCCAGCATTCCTATTCCCTTAGAAAAAGTCAGGAAAATACCAGATGACTGGTAGTCAGGGAAAAAGAGAGTGTGGCCAAGGAAGGAACATGGCTATCTGGGGAACACCAGAGGGCCAGACTGAGACCCAAGGTGAGGCACATTTGGCACATGGGCCTGGGCATCTGTGCTTTAAAAACCTTTACACATTTATTATGATATAAACTTTTATGAGCTAGAATGTACATCAGATGAATTAGATGTTAATGTGCAGAGAAAAACACTTTATACCTATGTGTAGATATGCCTGCCTACTTAGGGTAGCATGCATCTGAATATCTATATTCTAGGTATCTATATGAGCCACAATAGATGGGTTAAAGTTTTTAAGGTGACACAAGCTGGTTTTTTCAGCAACTGATTAACACAGTTAACACGGTCACAGCTACAAAGGCAGCACTATCTAGTCAACATTAAACTAAAGAATTTCATAATCTTAGATAAGTAATTACCTTGAGAAGGGTCTGCTTTTATCTCTTGAGGATTCACAGCAGGTTGACAGCAGCCCTACATAAATAAAAATACTTTAAGGTTTTTTTTTACTATTTGACTTATTTTATGTTTTTATGTTTACAACAGTACAGGATTGATAACTGAGAACATGTGATTCTTCCATGTATAAAGAATGCGAACATTGGTTCAGTAAGAAAGATATGTAATAAGATTATTATTTATTAGCAATACTTCTATACTGCTTGTTTGCACAAACCCCAAAGTGGATTATGGAAGAATGTAATAAATATAATACAGGAAATAATTCTGTATTAGAGTCTAATCTGCCATCATTTCATAATGCAGAATCTACAACAGAGAAGGTTCATCTCTATGTAATTGCCTAACAGAAATCCTCAGGTGAAGGCATAGACACCAGGACCTCCCCGAAAGATCAGGGAGGCCAGAGGAGTTGATCTCTAGTCAATCAAGATAGAGGAAATCTCTCAATAAGCAACAGAATCCTGGCATGTACCTACAATTAGGTATATTTTGGGGTAGTGAGGGCAGCAAAAAAAAAAAAGTATCTCACTGCCTCAATTCAATCTTCTCTCTGCTGCTGAACAGAGCTTTTCAAGGTGGTCCAGGGCTTATTACACTCTGGCCCCAGTGACCCCTCAGAACCATCTCAGGACTGCTGTAATTTACTCACTCGACACTTCAGGATAAAATCTCTTGCATCTGCTGGGACTTGGACTTGAGAGTTAAAAAACTGAATCTGTATAGATATCCAGAGCACAGCCTGGTCTGGTTTTATTGGATGAGTTTCAGTTGGTACAGCTTGAAGATGTGGACAAGGTGCTTGGCCAGGTTTGTGCAATCACCTCTACACCAGATCCTGGCCTCTCCTGGCTTACAGAAATCAGTAAGGAAGGAAAAAATGGCTGGGCCAGGGAGGTAATTAATGCCTCCTTGTGAGAGGGTGGCAGGAACACCACTTCTGAAGAAACCCTCCCTTGACCTAGAAGACCTTAATAACTTTAGGCTGGTAGCAAACATCCCTTTCCTAGGCAAGGATCTAGAGGGTGGTTGCCAATCAACTCCAGGTACTCTCGGATGAGACTGATTATATAGATCCATTTAAGTCAGGGTTCAGGCCAGGTTTTGTCATGGAAACAGCCTTGGTTGCACTGTATGATGACTTATGCTGGGAAAGAGATGGGGGAGTATGATCCTATTGATACTCATGGACCTCTCAGCGGGTTTTGATACCATCAACCACAGTATACTTCTGGGGTGACTGTCTGAGTAGGGGGTACTAAATTGCAATGGTTCTGCTCCTACTTGGAAAGCCATCTCCAGAAGGTGGTGCTTAGGGAATATAGTTCAGCCCCATGGATTCTCAAACATGGAGTTCCTCACGTGTTTTTTTCTGTCCCCCATGCTATTCAGCATGTACATGGAACTGCTGACTGGGGTCAGCTGGAGTTCTGCAGTGTGCTGCCATCAATATTCTGATGACATGTAGCTCTACTTTCATCATTGGCAGGTGAAGCTGTGGATGTGCTAAACTGGTGTCTAGCTGTGACAATGGACTGGATGAGCGCTAACAAACTGTAATTTGGTCCAGACAAGACTGAGATGCTTTGGTGGCAGGTTTGGCAGACTGGATGGGTGTGTGTGTGTTCCCTAGAAATATTAATGGATTTTCACTAAAGATAATCACTGCTATCTCTAGGGAACTATGTGACCTCTTTGGCGACATGTCTCTTAGTGGCCAAGTAGTTCCCTAGAGATATGGTATTCACGGCTTTTTGTTCTGCAGCATCCAGACCCTGGACTCCAGTGGTACTCCACCCGTTCGAGCAGCATAATCAAGCCCTGACTCTCCAGCACCAGGTCCATCTCCATCATCATCAATTAATGTTAGGCTTAATGTTACCTCAAGAATGTTTGTACTGTTTTAAAATCTGTTTCTTTTATTTTTTTTACAATACTGTATACCTATACACCCATACACAGATTCTCTCTCTCTCTAATACCCGTAGTTACTTTATTACTACTGTATTATCCTTATTACGATACTGTATTGTGTTTAAGATATTTTAATGACTATGGAAGCATTTCTTAAGTGTTTTATGTGCAGAGAAAGCTAAAACTTGCATGCAAATTCAACTTGAGGCTGGTCTCAGGAACAGGGACTACTTGCACTCACTTCTTACCTTCTCTAGTACTACTGACTTTACAAAATAAATTGCTTCTGAAAAAACACTATCTTCTTATATACAAATTCATGTCCCTTTTTACATGGATCACTGTCAATTTATGGCCCTCTTAAATGATAAACTTGGCTTGCACTGTAGTGTACCAGCCTGCTTCACATTCAGCAATGACAAGTCTTAGCATTCAAAATACATCATATTAGGCTTGGTAATATTTGTAAGAAGCTGGGAAGTAGGTAAATGTTTTTACGTTTATGCAGTTAATGGGGAAGAGGGACAGTGTGAATGGAGCTTGATCAAGGCTACTTAGCATGTTCTGGGTCAAGGTAAAGTTGAATACTGTATAGTAGCAATTTAGCAGTGTTACACTGAACCCCAAATTCTAACATCCACAAGTATCTGGTGACTCTACCATTCCCTTGATGGGTGCACAACTCTTCCATATGAATTAGGGGTTACTCACCAACAATTCTTGCTGCATTTTAATGCCTTTGACAACATGCATTTGTATTTTTCTGGGATACTGATTACGCTTGGAAGCCACTTCCACTATTAACTCATCAAGCTGATCTTCAAGGAGTCTTAGGTCCGTATCTAATTCCCAAGAAAAATACGAACACCAAGTAAATGAAGATAGACAGTACGGAAGTATACAATATTTTCTGAAAAAAATACGAGCTTCCTGCTAGAAAGCCCATGAGCCAAGTGCTTTAGGAAGGCTAAGAAATACATGAATGAAATGGCCATTTCCACCCCATTGCAAAGAAAGGCACATATTCAACTTCAGTAATCAAATAAGAACTAAAATCAGGAAGATGCATACCCTGCTCACCCTCGAACAGAGTTATGTGGGACCACAAAGATAGGCTAGAGATTATGTGTACATCAAATATGTAGAACTGGATCTTTTGGGAGCTATAACTACAATTATCCCTCAACTGCCATGTTTCTATTAACTGTTAATCATGGGGTTAGGGATAAGAGCACCAGACTCTTATAGATGAAAGACTGGCTGCGTTCACATGTCATGACAAGTGACCCTGCATGATTCACATGTTCTTTTTTACCCTGATGGGCCTTACAGGCAATCTGGCTCATGGTGTTAACTCTCCTCCTTCCTGCCCTTTCCATTCTTCTCAGTCCTCAGGTGGTATCCCAGCATATGCTGCAGGGAGAAAGGAGGCTCCTCTCTTTGTCAGCCATGATTCATCACAAGGTAAGCTTGGCTTGCTGCTGCTGCCAAGGAGTCTCCATTGGGCAAAGAGGGCTCATACCCTGAAAAGCAGCATAAGGGAGGAGAAAACTGATCAGGCACCCTTGCTGCCAGCTCCAGAGAGTACTGTTCAGGCAAAAGGGGAGGAAATATGCTGGGCAGTGCTGCAGAAAGGAATAAATGCTGCTCAGCTGATTCCCACTCTGCCCCATCTGTGCACACCTTAGGTAAACCCAGGTACTACTGCCTATCACCTCTCCCACCTGTGATTGAGGCTTCCCTCTGGCATGCCTGGGGGCAGTGGGGGAACCAGCTGAATAGTGCAATCCCTCACCAGAAGCCACTACCCAGCTGATTCTCACCCCCTGCTGTGAGTGGTACAGCGCTCAACTGGGCACTGTCCAGCCGATTCTTGCCTTCCTGCTTTGGCATGCACATGTGGGTGGGATCAGCTAAGTGGAGCTCTGCCTTTCCTAGCATGGACCAGCTGACCACTTGTTCCTGCCCCACACTAAAAGGGAGCACTTTTAGACAGGAGGCAGACAGAGCAGAGATGCCTCTGAAAGGTGTACAGAACAGCAGCTGTACACGGCTGGTGCTCTCTAGCTAGCTGTCTGACGAGAGTGGCAACAGGCTGCTCTTGCCAAGCATGTCTCTGGTTCTGGCCTTGGAACAGCTGTGTTTTCCAAATGACATAACAAGTCATTGGCCATATGCTGAAACCTCTGGAAGACCATATTCTGCCTGACTTTGGTTTAAATTGTTGTTTAAGAACAAGTCAGGATTTGGTCTTGGTATGTTGAACAAACTGAAACTTAAGCTAACCAAAATTTCCTTGATTGTGTACATAACCATGAATTCAGCTTAGTTTAAAATTTGGGGCAAAAGCTTCTTATTGTCTCTCAACAGCCACTCCAGAGAGGGAGAGGAGAGAATGTGAGTTCAAGGCTTGCTCTTGCTTGTAACATTAAATCACAGTTTAGCGCTTTGTCCAAAAATGACTGCTCATTGTTTCCATGTCCAATGACTATAAGAATGAAGGTTATTTTCAAGCCTACATTATCAAAATGTTCAATATTGCTGGCTTAATGCAAAACAAAATAGATTAGTATTTTCACAAAAATTGATCTTCCTCCTATATTATTATTTCTATAGTATGCTATAGTATACTATTTTCCAAGAAGTTCATCCTACTTTTAAAAATGTCCCTGAAAAGTCTTTCAAATTTTCATCTCAATAAAAAGAAAAAAATAGCAGAGTTTCATCTCAAATGAAAGATTAATACTGCATGGTATCTAATTGTATAGTCCAAGAAATAAAACTGCAGTACTGAAGCTATTTTATATAACGTTTTAAAAGTTCATTGAAATCAGTGAAAACTATCTAAAATTTCTAAAGTATTTTCTGTAAATGTTCAAATATTAGTCATTCATACCATTTTTCACTTGAAAACAAGATCTTGTAAACAATTATAAATTGTCAAAATAGAATTGTCAATTGTATTAACTCCAGTGTACCAGCAGATGGCAATGAAGTTTAGCATTCATGTGCTTGCTTCTACTGTTTAAAAATATGTTTTCTACTTTGACACATCCTTAAGATGTGGAAATCCTGCGTTTTTAGCCTACTGCAATTTAATGTTATTACAACCAAGCATGTAATTCTAGATAGACTTTTCTAACAATTACATTTTAGATGGTAGGAGGACAAGATGTTTTTCCAACATTTAAGAAAGCATACAGCAAAGAATCCCAGCTGAGAAAGATGCTATCTTATTTGATTTGTTCCCCACTTTTTGGCCAGAAAATGGCACCCAAGGCAGCTAATTGAACACCCTGCCTCAAAACATCTTGCTTTATTTAAAACACCCTCACAGATTATTTACAAATATACAGGTGTAAATGCTTACTGCAAAATGATAAAATCTAATGATGAAATCTTTTTCTTCACCTCACACAGGTTAGACTATCTGTCCATGGAGACTAGTATTGTTTATCTGGTGGTGGCCCATCACTTCCCACCTGGTCTTCTTTTAGTAGAGAAGGCAGAGATAACCTGGGGCACCATTCACATGCAAAGCATGAACCCTACTAAGTGATGGTCTGCTTCCCTTATTACAGAAGTTTTCCCCAGAACACTTCTATATCATGAGAACACACTAGCTTTTTCTATTCTGAAGTAATAGCTTACTTCAGAACAAGGAGCACTTACATCCATATATGCCCAGCCGCCCCTTGAGATCGGGGTGGGAGAGGCCCTTCTCCGGGAACCCTCCGTGAAAGAAATTAGGAGGGTGGCTACTCGGAGGAGGGCTTTCTCTGCGGTGGTGCCTAAGTTATGGAATGCGCTCCCCAGAGAGGTCCGCCTGGCGCCGTCGTTATTTGTTTTTCAGCGCCAGGCGAAGACCTTTTTATTTAAGCGGCATTTTAACTGTTAATATTATTGGATTTTATCTGGCCAGGGCGGCTTATTTTATATTGTATTCTTGTATTTTTAATTTAATGTTTATATTTTTAATTTAATATTATAATTATTTTAATTTATTGTTGTAAGCCGCCCCGAGGCTTCGGCGAATGGGGCGACATAAAAATGTTTTAATAAATAAAATAAATAAATACTGTAGTGGAGGTGCTAAAATAGAAACATAGAAACTGAGCAAGTCAGAAGGGACCTCCCGGACCACTAGTCTGATCTCCAGGTCCAGCTGGCTCTGCTCATGACATGCCCACCACATGCATGTCCAGCCTACCCTTGAACACCCTCATCGATGGGGCTTCAATGAGGTCCCGTGGAAGCAATAGGGAATAGGGATGAATCAATTTTGTTCACATGTACAAAAATTCTTATGGACATACTTAAACATAGCCACAAATTTGGAAATTAAACAAGCAACCCACTGTGGATACTAAGCATGTCTTTGGAAGAATAAGGCTATAAATGTCAACTAGTCATTATCACTATATATTTCCAGGAGCAGAGGCAGAATTTCTCTGAATACTATGTGCTAGTAAGCATATTCTTATGTCCTGCTGAAAGTTTTCCATAGGCAACTGCTTGACCACTGAGGGAACATAATGTTGGACTAAACAGACCTTTGGTTGGATTAAGCATGTTCATGTGTTTTTAATATTTACTGTGTATAGAAGGGAAATCAGGACTAAGAACTCCATACAGTTACCTATGTAAGCACAGCTGGTATGAAATTTATCTTGAGTACATTCAGTATTGGATAGCTACATTAAAAGATATAAGAATACACACAAATACTTACATTGCATCTCATGAACAAACTACCATATTTTTCCATCTAAAAGACACCCCCATGTATAGGACCCCCCCTTTTCTTACCGATCTCCGAGCAAGCTGCTTCCATGAGCACACACCCACCATCACGCCAGTCTCCCCCTCCCGAGCATGCCCACGATTTTCCTCTCGCCCCCCCATGTATAAGATGCCCCTCCATTTTTAGGTAAATATTTTAAAGATAAAGTATTGTCTTATACACAGAAAAATACAATAATAAAGATTGGATAATGAAACTAAGAAACAGAAATTATATTCAAAAAATCACAAACCATTTTGAAGATCATCTGATGACTCCTTCCATAGCTGTCCATTAACAGTAATATTCTCCTGTACAGCTGTTTCAAAGTTCTGTAGTAAATATATTGAATAAAACCCTTTAAATGCCTTTCTCTGTCAATGTAATAGAACACAAGAATTCACTTGCACACCTCCCAGTTTGTTACCTCCTGCTTTAAATTTTGTTACAGAAAAAGTAGCAAACTATGGAGAGCAGTCAGTTCAAAAAGCCTTGGAGGTACAGTGGTACCTTGGCTCACGAACTTAAGCCGTTCCACGACTCTGGTTGTGACCCAAACTGGTTGTGACCCAAGTCAAATTTCCCCATAAGATTCAATGTAAATAAGGTTAGTCCATCCTGGCCCCTCCGAATGTGGTTGTGAGCCAATTTTTGGTCATGAGCCAAGTCAAATTTCCCCATAAGGTTCAATGTAAATAAGGTTAATCCGTTCCATAACTATTTTAATCAGAAAAAGTTGAAACAAAGTGACAAAGAACAACAAAGTAACAAAGTACTGTACAGTACAGTGGAGATCACTAACCTAGGTGGGGGGGGGGGAGGTTATTGTTTTGAGGGAGAGTCCCCCTCCATAAGGACGTTGAGGAAATCTCTTTCAGGGGTTTCCTCTCTTCTTTGTCTCTTAGCTGCAGGGTCAAATTTGGTGAAAAATCTGTCTATAGTCACTTGTTTTTTCCTGCGCTGCATAACCCTCCGGAAATGAGAGACCATGTTATTGTTCATCTGATTCAACACTCTGTTTGTTACAGTTATGTTGGGGAGGTGCTTCTCAAAGAAATCCTGGCATGGGCGAGCTCCTGAAGGTAAGACAAGCACAATCTTGGCCTTCTCCCCCCAGCATGATCATGGCCATCCCCGCAACCAGCAGGATTGTGGCCATCTTTCCCCCCACAAGTGGAGAGATGGCCACAATCGCAGTTGCGTTCGTGCAGGGAAAATGTGCATGATCACGGGTGCACTCCTGCAGGAAAGACAGGCACAGCACAGCCACGATCACACACATCTTCCCTGCACGAATGTGACTGCGATCGTGGCCATCTCCCCACGTGGGGGAGAGGTGCGGGAGATGGCCGCAATCATGCTGGTGGGGGGGGATAGCCACGATTATGCTGTTTGTGGGGGGGAGGGGTAGATGGCCACGATCGTGCTGGTTGTGCGAGGGGGAGATGGCCGAAATTGCACCCGTCTTTCCTGCAGGAGTGTGCCCATGATCACACACGTCTTCCCTGCATGAATGCAACTGTGATCATAGCCATCTCCCCACTTGGTGGGGTGGGGAGATGGCTGCAATCTTAGTTGCCACCCAATGCAGAGTTCGCGACCCAAGTCAAAATTTTCATGAAATTATTGTTCGTGACCCAATTTGGTTATTTGTGAGCTGAGGTACCAGTGTACACAGAAATGAGTATCAGTAACGAATAAGCTGAATTTGTGGTCATGTAGCTACATACCAGATGTCCAATGCATATTTTAATCAGACAGCATCAATAGTATGCCAATAGTGACCTGGAAGAATTCCATCATACACTGATAAATAAAACTCTAGCTGGACACATCCCTTTTACAATCATGCAAGATATACAGTTTAAATGAATAAAGATACTTCACAGGCAGAGGCAAAAAAGGAAAAAAAAATCAAATGTGGTCCTATGCTGGCAAATCAGATTTTTATTTTTAATCAAAAAGCTGGTCCCTATTATCCCAGCTCATGTTAATGTGACCAAGAGGCAGAGTTTTTGATCAGGCTAAGCAAATAAAGAAGGGTTGATACTTCATTGCAATGCAACATGGAAAAGCTTTAAATGTTTAGCAAAAGCACTTCATTAACAGAAAATTATACAGTGATTACAAAAACAAAAGAAACAAAAACAAAAAGTCACTTTTTGAGAGCTATACCCCTAAGCCATGAAAAATTCACAGGTACACCTTTCCCTGGCACAGAAACATTGACTCATGAACTTGCACCTATGAATAACACCAGCTCCACTGGCTTCCTGTGCCAGGGTTTAATGTAAAAAGCTGATTCAGTTCCAAGGTTTAATGTAAAAAGTTTTGAATTTCTTGTTGATTGGCTTATGCACATTTTCCCCATGATAAGATTCTACTACTGCCCTAGAATCAGCATCTGAGGTTCCAAATGCTGTCCACCTCCACTGGAAATTTAACAGGTACCAGGGACAGCACCTTCTCAGCCGTGGCACCACAACTGTGAAATCCTCCCTAGGCAGGTCTGACAGGCTTCTACTTTTTTAAAAAAAGTGGTATTTGCTGGACATATGCTTTCTGCTCTGTTGTTTTTATACTGTTTTAATCCTGTGGACTGTTGTTTCTCAACTGTTTTAATGCTGCCTGCTGTTTGTGGTTAAGAAACATATTTTTGGTTGCCAAAACCCCAAAATCCTAGTCAAAAATTAAATTAAAAATACAGTTTCTGGCTCTCGTGCTTTGCTGAAGGCACAGAGGTATTGCAAGAAGGTTTAATAACGAACCTTCCACCCTTACAGACAAAGTCCCCACAAGCAGGACAACGAGGCTAGGTATTGATCATTTGATCTGAAGACGCCGTTCTTCTGAGGGCGCCTGAAACTAAAAGAAGCGCTTACAAATGCAGCCCGGGGCCCAAAGAGCTGTGGGACAGGCGGAGCGGCCTCCCACCCCTCACCTCAGCCCGGCCGCGCTTACCCAGAGCGCTTCGCTGAGAGCCTGTTCCAAGCTCTCCGCCTCAACGGCCTGGCCGGCCCCGAGTCTGCGCACGAAAGGCCCGTAGTGTCCCAGCAGCTCGCCAGTCCAGCGGCGCGAGCGACACTGCACGCGCGGCTCTCGCGGCGGAGAAGCGGCCGCCATCTCGGCGACCGTTTCCCGCTCTCTGAAACCTTTCCTGATTTGATCCATCCGCCTTACTGTAACCCGGAAGCGGAACTAAGCCGAGCCACTTTGCATGATGCACTGAAGCAAAAGTAGGTAATGTCCGAAAATAGATCTGGCTGGAAACTGAGGTCTCCCCAGCGGGAGTTCCGCATTTAGGGATGGGGGCGGTGGATTGTCACTGCCACCTCGCGGCGCCCGAGTTCCACGCGGTGAGTGAGTGGGAGTCGCTGGGCGGGAAGGAGGGAGGTGTGCTTTCCACCGTGGTTGGTACCCCCCCCCCCCATCACCCACACACACGCACGCTCACGTTTCTCTTTCCTCCCGTCTGGCAAGTGTTAGGACAAAATGAGTGAAAGCTCTGCCATGATATAGTTGCCGAAAGCCTGACCGTGGAAGAACAGCTTTAGACTTAAGGTGGGATTCCTGATCTGATCAGGAATCCATGGTACTAGTCTTGCTTCCTACCTTAAGTACGCGATAGTATGCCTGTCCCACTTTAGATATGCGAAGGTATATCCATTCCGAAAGTTCTTCCTTTTCTATTGTTTGTCGGAATGCTCCCGAGTGCCTGTAGCAAACTGCCTACATGATCCCCCTTTCCCAAACTTTGTATGTAATTTATAAAAGCAACTTGAAGATGCCATCTTTGTAGTCCCTTTGGGGGCTACCTACAAGCTGCATGTATTTCCCGTATATCTGAGTAAACTGTAATTGTTCTTTCGATTGCACTCCCTCAGCAAACCTTTGTAAACTGTTCTTGACACAAGATAAGCCTTTCTAGACAAGACCAGAAGCCCATCTAGTCCACTATCCTGTTTGCACTGTAGTGCATGGGTTAACGTGACCTATGATCCTGCTCATCCATTCCATTTTATTCTCCCAACAATCCTGTGATGTAGGGTCACCATCCCTCACCCAGATTGAAGTCACCCAGTGAACTTCAATGCCAAATGGGGACTGGAACCTAGACTGCCTGAGACCCCACCTTCATCCTCATCTGGGTTCTAATCTCTGCTAACTGGGTGACTTTGGGACACCCACTGGCACTCTGTCTAACCTACCTCACAGGGTTATTTGAAGGATATAATGGAGAGGATCATTTATGCCTCCTTTGGCACCTTGAACCAAAGCTGAAATATGAATATAACAATTAAATACATTCCCACAGTTGAGAACATAGGAAAAGCCATGCAAGTCCATCTAGTTAGTGTAGCACTGTGTTCACACAGTAGCCAGCCAACTGCCTGTAGGACACCCAGAAGGAGGGCCAGTGTGTAACATTACCCACTTGACCAATTTCCTTACAACTGGTGTAAGTAGACACACTGGCTCTGATACTGGAGGTGGCATCTAGCCATCAGGACTGGTAGCCACTGAAAGCCATCTTCTTCTTTTAAAGTTCTCCAAAATAGTAGCCATCATTATATCTTTTTGAAGTGACACAGTTTAACTGTGCTCCTCATGAAGGTCTTCATTTGTCCTGTTCTGAACCTTCTACCAATAGTCTTCATAGGATGACCCCGTTGGATTCTAGAATTATGGGAGATGGAGAAAAATGGCATCCTCCCTGATTTCTCCACACCATGCTCATTTGTATACACTTACTTCCCTTTTTTGTAAGCTAAACGATCCCAAGATGCCTTTTCAGAAGCTCACAAGAAAGGCAGGGTGTTCAGTGGCATATGAAATAATAATAATATGAATTTGGTTTTTAAAATTTCCATTTAGAAGCACCTATTGTAGTTGCCATCATAGACCATGTGGTCATCCAGATGTTGTCAGACAGCAACTCCTATCATCCTTTACCTTTGGCTATGCTGGCTAGGGATTATAGGATTTGCAATCCAACAAAGTCTCCCATTCCTGCTAGGCCTTAGGGCAGGAGTCCTCAGCTTTTCTGGGACAGTGGACACAGAAGGAGAACTGGTGAGACTGAAAGAAAAGTAACTTGCTCAGAAACCAAAATACAAGGAGAGGTGGGGTTTCAGGTCTAAAATGCATTCCTGCTACAATTGGGAGCAGTTTATTTTGAGGCTTGTGCAACATAACAGACATATGAACTCAGACCTCTGATACTGAGGAGTTATTGCAAAAAGAAAAAAGTAGATTCACGATGTGGCCCTTACTATTTCCTTTTTCTTATGTTAGTAAAACTAGCTAACATATTAGTAGAACTAAGATAATGAACATAGCATAGCTTAATAGAACTAACATAGCTATATTTTTAATATCTTCCAGGACATTGAAAGTGTATTGGAAGACACAAAGAAGGTTTGTAACTGGAACCATTATTTTTCTAAAGGTGTAACATAGTTCCTGTTGTCATATTTAAGCCCTAGAATGATTATCACCAATTAGTTTTACATAAAACTTTGCATAAAGTTTTACATAAAATGGAATGTTCATATCTAGTAAAGCTTTATATTACAATAGTACAAAATACTGCTTTGGATCCTAAGGTAAGTTAGCAAATAACTCTCTACCAATGAAACAGAAAAGGAGCCCTGCAATTCCGAGCATATATACTAGCCAATATGGCTGGCTGGAGGGATGTTGAGAATTAGAGAACCTCCTACTGTCTAAATATGGATAGGATTCTGCCCTTAAGGAGGTTAACAGAAGGGAAGTTTCCCAACTTCTCCCCCACCAGTCATGTGTTCTCCTACAATCAATGGGGAGGGCAGCCTCCCCTGACCAATATGAGATGGAGGTGGGGGTTATGAAGGGGAGAAATCACCCACAATCAGACTTTGTCCCCAAGATATTTTAATTTAGAGAAGTTCAGGCAGAAGATTTCCTATTTCTACCTTCATACTGCAGCCCCAGCAGCCCATCCTAGGAAGATACCTTCTCTTTCCCATTTTTAGAGAATCTTTTTGGGACTCATATGAGACCATAAGGCCTAGAGGGGAACTCTCATGCCATAAATGCCCTTCCATTAACTTATTTCATGGTCCAAACTATTATAGGGTAAATTAAGAAATGGGAATCCCACTGATATAGAAGTAACGCTTAAATTGGTATTGACAAATAGTTGCATTTAGGATCAGGTTATAAGATGTCTCATTTTTGTTCTCCATTCTAGTTAACTTATTTCCTGTTATTTCAGGCTAAAGTTTTGGCCTTGGTGGTAGTTGCTGAATACTTAGCAGATTTTGAAAAAATTATTCAACTTTCTAAAAGGTACCAATGTTTCCAGTTTTTCAGCCTATTGTGTGGGATGAAAATAATTAAATTCTAGGATCCAGATAGTGGTACTGTTAATTCTATTCAGCCAACTGTGTTTTGGTTTGTAAGGAATCTACTTAAGCTGCATGGCAACTATTTTATGTTTGTTGTTTTATTTTGAGAAGCGTGTTGTGATATATTTGGTGTTCAGTGAACATCTGCTCTTAAAAAAAAAAAAGACTACAAAAATCCAACTGGATTTTTGGAATATCCAGAGCACCATAGAAATAACTCTTTTGGATTCTACCTATAGGATTTTAGAATGATATTTCAGCAATTTGATGGAGTTCATTCTATTATATTCATTGTGTATGTATATAAATCACAGTGCACAGTGCTTTTGGAGAACCAGCATGATTCAAGTCTACAGTCTTCCACTGAATGTTCTTGAGCTAGTCACTATTAGGCGTACACCGGATTCACTCAAATCCAGTACTAATCAGGGTGATTTGGAAAGATTCAGGAGATGATCCATTCAAAATAGGGCTCCTTCAACATGGACTGAAACAAGAACATTGTCAGCAATTTGGAGGATGTAGAGACCCAAACAAAGCACTTGTAAAAGTTGCTACACTCATCTCCAAGCTGTTCGTAGTTGGAAAATGCCAAACTGGGGAGAGGAAGGAATGTAGTTTTGCGACAGACAGTTCTAGTTTCTGATCACAGTGAGTGGCTTTCCTTTGGCTTTGGGGAAAAGGGTTTGAAGTAATATATTGCAGGAACTGTTAAGTGCAGTTTGCTTGGTCTCTCTTTCCCAGTAGCAGGAACATTAAAAGAAATTTGGTGGCTCCCGTGGGACCTGGGAGGTTGATTCTGTTCATGTATAATAGCAGCAAATTGTGGGTTAATTAATTAACTGAACATTTTGCTGTGTTTGCAGGCTGCCACAATTTTGAATATACAACCTCTGATTAGAAGGTTTATGTGAGGTATGAAACTAGGTATCATCTATTTCATTTCTATACTACCCCAAAACCAAAGCTGGCTGGGTGGTATAGGAATGAAATAAATAATACTAATGTGAGTTAATCATGAGTTAAACAACCCATAGTTAACCTATAATTAGTAATTAAGTTAACTATGAGTTGTTTAAACCACACTTAACATGTAGTGATGGGTTAGTATGTCATGGAACTACTTCCAATCAAGCTGATTGAAGGTTACATATTTAAAATGATGGTGCCATATACCATGGAAAAGAGTGGGTTGTTTAATTAACTCATAATTTGCTGTCATAGTGGGCATGTTTGGACAATCCTAGATCAGGGTGCAGAACTTTTTTTGGGTGGAGGTCGAATTGCTTCCCCCACTTCATCCTCCAAAGGCTGATGGATGTGAGTGAGCGTGGCACAGCCAATGATGTCATCCCCCCATTTTGCATTTCTCAGTGAAAGGGTCAGATTTGGCTTTCTTGGGCCCTAAATTTGAACTTGTTAGTGCTTTGCAGTAGCTATAAAGTGCTAAAAATGTCACATGAGGTTTGCAAGCAACTTTCAGTTTGTCTCTTTTAGTACTCTGTATTGCTACTGATGCCCCCTTTTCCATCTAAACAGCAATAACAACCACCACCCCTCTCTTGCTGCCATATTTGACAAGGCGGCAGCCACAGCAACAGCGCATGCCCACAGTGCATGTGTTGCCCACTCCTGATTTAGGGCCTGATATGGATAACATCTTTATTTGCCTTGCACCAATTCCAAGGCCACCTATGTAAACTCAGGGTGTGAACCAAAATCCCAGTTTGGTAATCCCAAGCTTTGTGCTTTTGATTTAATATATTGGAAATCAACAACATTGCTATAGCTTTTTGAGCATTTGACATAATTGGATGAAATTTGCAGGAATATTTGGTCTTTTTGAGTGATTTAAGCTCGACATGTTTCAGACAAATAGGTGCAGGATTTTGCAGCTGGGAACCTTTGCAAAGTTTTGGAAGGATAGGTACAGCGGTTTGTGCAGGACAGCGTTCAAATTTTGAGAGAGTTTGGAGGGATTTGTTTTCCTTCCCTTGCTCCCTCAATGTGCTTTCTTTTGGCAACTTGTATGAAAATGACATATATCAGAGGTGTCCCTAGGCAGAAAACTTGTAAAATCAGTGTAGAGTTTAGTCAGTTATGATGAATGGGTGAAAGGGGATGTTGAAGACTTTTTTGTTTTCTGTTTAATTGACATCAGAGTCGTAAAGTGCAATGAAACAGATCTGGATAATGGGTGCAAGGCAGAGGCAGATGGACTAGAACATTTAGCACAGGGCTGTGGATCCACCTGACTGCGCCCAATCCAGCCTGCCGAGGTTCCATACCCAGCCTGCAAAACCTTCTTGGGCTCCTCAAGGTGGCAGTGCTCAGCCTTTAAGCCCCAACCCCTCAAGGATCCCCAAACAGAGATGGGAGATTACAGTGGAAACTAGGGTGATGGGGGATTCAGCTGGCACTGAAAGGAGCATCTATTCTTCCTCTGCTGGCTGAGTCCTCTTATGTGTCATCCAAAGCTGGGGACTCATCTGGCACTACGAATAGCAGATGCTTTCCCCAGTGCCAGCCAAGTCTTCCACAGGCTGCCTGTCTCAGTGCTCTGTAGCATGGATTTGTGTGATTTTATTTCCTAAACAGATCTTATTCCTCTTCATCTTCTTTTTGGCAGGGTATGCAGGTAGAGGATGGCTGGAGGAGTTTTCCAGGGCCTCCAGAATTTACCCTCCCCTGGTCTTAACCCTGGTCTTTTGTGGGATTTGCACAACCAGTTTACTTCCTAGTAAAACAGAATCATTGGTTGGTATTGTTTTATATAAAATACGCTGTACTGGAGTTGATTCTAAGCATTACCCAAAATCAGGAGATAAAACTTGACAATACTACTGTTAACAATCAAGCAATCGGAAGAGATAAAACCTGGTTATATTTTCTTATATTATTTTGGTCTAGAATTTTCATTTTAAATTATAGTGTTAACTAGAATGTCAAAGGCTGTTCTCTTTTTAGTCTTTCATGTAGTGTTTGTTTGGAGCTTAGGCAGCAACATATATCTGAGCTTTCTAACCCCTTAACATGTGCTCATGTCCAGGTACCCAGGATTTGTCTTTCCATGTCTTGGCATTCATCCAGTTCAAACTAGTCCAGCAGGACTTGAGAGCAGTGTTACATTAAAGGTAACATGGAAACCAATGGCATTGCAGTACTTTGTCCTTCCTATAGTGTTTCTCAGCTGTCTGAGGTGCCAGTGTTCATCTTGCACTTACACATGATCTTCCTGCAGGATGTAGATGAAGCATTGCCACTCATAGAGCTCTATAAAGACCAGCTGTTGGCCATTGGAGAGGCAAGTCACATCTCCACAACCTTCTTTGTATGCTATGGTATGCTTTAGAGGTAATAGTTCTCCTTGGCAGAAGGCTTGGTGCGGTGCAGTACCAAAGCATTTTTGCTCTTGGGGCTTACAGTGGGTTGGGTGGAACTTACTCATTTAATGGTGCTGGCAAGAAGGGGGCGCAGGCGCCTGTCCACTGATCATTGCCTGTTAAAGCAAGAGGATGAATAGCAAGAGCAGTGGTGAGAAGAAAGACTTACCGAGGAAGGGGGTCCATTGAAGTCATCTTGCATCTAGGATTGGAGCTGTGCAGCACAAGGTAAGCTGCGGCTGCAATCCTGTATACATTTACCTGATGGTAAGTCCTACTGAACTCAGTGAGCTTTCTTCTGAATAAACATGCACAGAATTACCCTTTGGTGTAGAAAATAATATGCAGTGTAGAAGCTAATATACAATGCATGTAGTGCATGCTGCAGGTTTTCAAGGGCCCTTGGGCAAGGCACCCTCAATGGCCCCCTTCCTCAGTGAGTCTATGCTGAATGGTCCCCCTTTTCAGTGAGTTTATCTTCTCTTCCTTCTTAGTAGCTGCTCTTGTCCTTCATTCTCTTTCTCATCATTGCCACCACTTACTTGGCAGACAAATAACCCGTGGGCAGGTTGGCAGTGCCATCTTATGCTTTCCCTTTCGCACCACCATTGTTGGATGAGTCAGAAATATAGACAGGTGAAGCAGGTTGCCAGCTTGAAAAGGAGGAGCACCTCTAGGGAGTTTTTGTAGATGGGTCCTTCCTGGGATGGAGATCATCTGCAGGTGCCCAGCCATACCTATTATTGATGCTTCCTTCATAGACATTTGTGTGACTATTTGTGTGGTGGGGACATGGTACCTCTATAAGTACCTCAAAGGCTGTCACAAAGAGGAAGGTCAAGATCTCTTCTTGCTGATGCCAGAGTGTAGGGCACACGGAATAACCAATTCAAGTTGTGACAACCCAGATTCAGCCTGAACATCAGGAAAAGCTTCCTCACTGTCACAACAATACGACAATGGAACCAGCTGCCTAGAGAGGTGGTGGGCTCTCCCACACTAGATACCTTCAAAAAGAAACTGGACAGCCATTTGAGTGGGATGGTGTGACTTGGTGTCCTGCAACAGCAGGGGGTTGGACCCGATGGCCTTCATGGCCCCTTCCAACTCTACTATTCCATGAGTCTATGACTAAAACACCCAGGCATGCATTCCCAGCTAGGAAGTGGTGTTTGGCAGGCTACCATGTTCCAAAAAGCACAACTGGGCTGAAGTACATTCATCTGTGATTGTGATTGCATCATAGATTGTGCAAGAAAACTTGCAGCATAATGCATGAATACATGCTTAAACTATGAGGAGTGCGTTATTTTCTACAGAACACTTATGTGTTGTTATGTGTGATGATCTACTTATGCATTGCTTGGTATTTCCTCCATAGGGAGCATTTTCCCAGTAGGAATTTTGCGAGGTTTGATGTGGCCCTTAAACTCCCAGCATATTGTTGGCTTTTGAACAGCAGTCAGCATCTGTTTTGAAAAGTGTTAAAAACTACTCACCTGGTGGATTGCTGAGTGGCTGATTAAGGATCTCAGGTGTTTCACAGTTATAGCAAAGCTTCCATAATATATTTTTGTTAAATGTGCACTGCTATTAGAGCCTGTGCAGTTCATATTTTTGTTATTGCTTCTAACTGACTGTATTTATAACTGTGGTGCTAAGAAAAGAAAAATACTCTTACAGTCATTTTAGGAGAGGAAGAAAATCTTATTTCTCCATTTTTTGCTAGGTTGGTTTGGATTTCACTCCCAGAATTGCAAGTACTGATGAGCAGAAGGAAAGGCAAAGACAAGTCTTGATCAAACAGATTCAACTTGCAAAACAACTAGATTTGCCTTTGTAGGTCTTGTGTGTGTTGCTAGTAAGATCATTATTTTTATTGTTAGGAAAAATGCATTTCAATTTTATGTCCCTTTGTAGTGATTAGTGTCCAAATGACTAATTAATAAGTTTGTCATGAATAATGAGTGTGCATCCTCGGGCTCATGGATCAGTTCCATCTTGCCTGTGATCCTAAACTGGCTGATGGGGCACCTCAAAAAGCCATGTCCCCCTCCCTGATTGTTGATTATTTGGTGGTTTCCTAGCTCTTGCAATTTTCTCCCCATTCTAAAAGGTTGAGACATCGCCCCTTAGTTGCAAGCAGTAAGCATTTTATGCTTAAGTATTTGGGCTCTATTTCTTTTGCTTTCTGCTCCACCCACTCCTGGAATGCAGCCCCAGAGAGCTTCTTGGGAACTGTATGTGATCCTTGGGCTGAAAGAGATTCAGCAGCTCTGTTACAAGCTTGTCTTATTAAAATTATTACTGTAGCTTGCATTGATCTTTTACTGCATATGTTTCCTGTACTCGTGGAGAAAATGCTGCTGCATTTTCAGGCTAATAAGCTGTGTTGTATAATATTTGTCCAGTGCTTTGAGATGTTTCCAGAAATTACACTAATAATGGTTTCCTTTCTCCCCATTTTGTTATAATCAGAAGCTCTGTGAACCATGAAAAAATGTAGTTGTTTACTTGTTTATAGAAATTTTAAAATAGCCTGCTCTGAAGGCTTGGGGTAGATAACAATAAGTTAAAATATCTAGCTTGAATCAATCTTAAAAGCATATAATGCACTTGTGCTCCCCCCTTAGAACTGGTTTATCCGGCCATAAAAAGCCAGCAAGTTTCTGCTAAAATCTCCCGCTGATCTCTTTTGTTCTTCTTGTTTATCCTAGAAATGTCCACTCCCGCTCAGCTGGAAGGCCAACCATTAACCTCTTAAAGGAGCAAGGTATAATTTGTTTGATTTGATTTATGTTTGTTTGGTTTGTCTTTTGCCAAAATACATGGACACTCGATTTGGGGCCCATTTCCTACAGGGGCAGATGATTTCCTTTGGATGAGAAACGTGAGAACCAGTTTCACAAGTAGCAATTTATAATTTAGTTTCCTTGATCCAGTGTAAGTTTCAAAGCCATGCTCAGTTCAACTCAACAAGTGCAGCTGTGTGAGGGTCTGGATCGTTGTTGCAGTTAGCAGTGCTTCGTCTTTAGATATGAGCAGGCTGGCATCAGGCTGGGATTTGGGGGCAGGCATCGGGGTCCCACTGAGCTGAATGAGCAGGAGTGCCCCCAGCTTGGCAGGACTAGCTTACTCTATCCCGGAGTAAGGCAAGGAGTACGTGCTGTAATCTAAAGTACAGGAAAGGCATATTGTGGATATTGGTTTTAATGTTTTTATCCGTTTTAAATGCATTGTATCTATGTTTTTTAGTAACTGTTATGTATTTTAATTGTTTTAAAGTATAGCACAATGTGTAGTAATGTACTTTAATCTTCTTGTAAACTGCTTCAATGTATTTTTAATCAAGATGAGCACAGCCTAAATCTAAATAAATAAGTAAGACCATTGGCTAGTGTTCATTGTAACCCCAGTGCTAGTGCTGATATTTTGCTAGCATAAGCTTGTCCGCCAGGCCTTTAGTTGAAAGAAAGCTTGCCATGTTTCCCCATTGCATAAGCAATTGGTTTATACAAGCACAGCACTGGGGCAACACTAGATATGACCCATTGTCCCGAGTCTAAGACACCTAACTGTGCTATTGTATATAAGGCAAAGGTCTGGCCTACATAGGGTTTCCCCCCCCCCCCCCAAAGCTAAAGCCTCTCCATTATGGGACTCAGAATGCCAGTGCTGGGCAACTCGTGGCTCTCCAGAAGTTCTGGCCTATGATTCTCATCCTTCTGAGGCAGCACAGCCTCTTGTGAGGACACACGGGAGTTGCAGGCCTGAACATCCGGAGATCCTCAAGTTGCCCAGCCTGCAGTGTGGCAGAGAACACTTCTGCACATGGATGGTCCAGACAGAACAGCCACTGTCCCTCTGCTTTTTTACTTTTGCATGGGGTATTAGAATTCCACATCCAGCGCATAGTTAGGCTGTGTATCTGTATCAGTTTGGTCAAGAAGGACATAGAACAGAACAACTGGAGAGCCGTCTGAGAGGGATGGTTCATCAGGGTGTCCCGCACTGAGCAGGGAGTTGGGCCCCATGGCCCTCTGGCCCCTTCCAGCTCTTCTGTTCTATGATTCTACAAGCCAGTCCTGTTGCTGCCACAGTGTAGAGACACCAGCACCCCGGTTATGCTGGTTTGTGGGGCAGGTTGCATTAGTGTACATCAGTCAGTCTGTCAGTCCCTGTACCTCAGGGTAGTGAAGATGATCAGAGGTGCACTAATGCACATCCAGTATGTAGCCAACCTATAGAAGTGAACGCAAGAAAAGATGGCAGGAGGGTCTTTAGCTCCCAGGATATTCTCCTGCAGAGACTATTCTTCCCAGTCACTATGTAATGTTATTCTTTAATGGCATAAAAGAACAGGTGCTTGGATAGGCTTGTTTTCCTCTTCTGCCCCCATTATTTTTCCTTTTGAAAAAAATGTGTCTCTTACAGTTTGTACTATTATGTGAGATAAACTGTCTCAAGCACTTCAGGAGAAAAGCGGCATGCAGATTTAATAAATAAAGAAATATGTAGTGGTATCTATTTTATATCCTGTCTTCTCCCTACCCTCATGATAGTATATATTATACCTCCTATTCTCCTATTTTTTAAAATCCTCATCCCAATTTTTTGAGGTAGGTTAAGCTGAGAGGTAGCAACTGGCCCAAGGTCAGCCAGTGAGCTTGAAGGAGATTTGGGGATTAAGAGTGGGAGTTGAACGTAGATCAAATGAATCTTTGAATCTCAGCTCTTTAGCTGAAGACTAACTTAAAGGGAATAGTATAGTTAGACTTTGTCCTTCCACAAATATCTCTTCTCATAACCTGAGAAAAACTTTCAATTTTTTCCACCACAGATTTAGTAAGAAATTACGCAAACAATAGGATAGGATCTTGTGTGCTGGGCTGAAATTTCGTGGGCATCATGTGTGATCCTATTCTTAGAAGACTTCTGGCTTTGGGTCAGGCTTCTGCCAGCCAAGTCAGGAGATCACATTGATGGCTATAAAATAAAGGGCAAAGGGATAGAAGCCCAGATCGAAACTCCACAAACATCAAATGCCCTGCTATGTATTAGCACCTTGTGGAGCTTTGCTGTGTAATTTTCCTGACCTATCTGATTTCTGCCATTAATTTTTCTGGAAACACACATTCTTTTGATGTGGTTCCTTGCAGGTGCTGAAAGGGTGCTGCTCCATGCATTTGATGGCAAGCCTTCGGTGGCAATGGAAGGGGTGAAGGCTGGCTATTTCTTCTCCATTCCTCCTTCCATTATAAGGAGCGAACAAGTAAGATTCAAGGGGCAGTGGCTTCCACAAGGTTTCTTGTTCGTATCCCAAATCTCCTGACACTGACCTGTTGGGATCTTAAAGGCTCAGATATGAAAACAACCTGGTCCAAACAGGCTGGAGGTCAGTTCCAGGGTTGTCAGAGAAGGCCACCCTGAGGAGGCAAACTGAGGAGACCACCTCTGTAAGGCCAGCTGGGCCTGGACTGACAGAAGGAGTCCTAGACCAAGCCAGAACTTCCCCTAGAAGCAAAAATGACAAAACTGAGGCTCTCATACTTTGGGAACATCGTGAGAAGGCAAAACTCCCTGGAGAAGACAATCACTTTAGGAAAAGTTGAATGCAAAAAAAGATAAGGAAGGCCAAATAAGAGATGGAGGAAGCCACAGCCTTGAAGTTAGAACAATTAAGCAGGGCTGTCATGGACAGGATATTTTGGAGGGCTTTCATTCATAGGAGAACCATAAGCCAGAGACGACTTGACAGCACCAAATAACAACAAAGGCCTCTACTGACAGCGCTGATGCAAGACCTCCTGCCGAGGCAGAAGGGTGTGCTGCTGCCCTCTCTCCTCTCCTGGCACCCTTGTCTTGATGGTGGCAGTGGCTGCCCACTTCTACCTCCTCCTTTTCCCCCTGTTGCCGCCCACTTTCCTCCCCCTCCACCCACCACACTAGTGGCAACAGTTTCCCCTCTTCCCAAGCAGCAATTGCCGCCCTCCTCCTCCTCCTCCTCCTCCCCGCATGGTGGCTGCAGTGGCAGGCCATTCTCCTCCCTCAGTGTCTGCTCGAGGGGTCTTTCCCTCAGGGCAGTGGCAAGGAAGTAGCGTCTAGACCAGCTGTATTGTGGCAGCTCAGGTGATTTCCCACAAATACATCATTTTATAGAAGGACCATTCACAGAGTGGTGCTGGCTGTTCTCCCCTCTGAGTGGCTAGCTGGGCTTCCAAGGAACCTCCCCATCTGTTGCCACGCTCCAAGGAAGTCCTTAAAGCAAAGCATCAGTCAGCTGGCACTCCAGAGAGCTGAGCCAGCCATCCCAGGAGAGCACCAGCATGACTCTCCAGAGCGCTGGCTAGGGTGTGTGTTTCTCTTGGCAGTGGAATGTGCTTCCCTTTAGGATCTGCTGCCTGAGAGTGGGGTTCGAATGGCTTTGCAAGCCTTTTGGCTCCCAAGGGCACCTGCTTCCTTCCGGGCTGAGTGGTACAGTTTCCCTTCCTGTCCCGGTGAAGCAAGTAGAGCTCCGTGAAGCCGTAAGACTCAGACTAGTCAATCCCCATCCCCTAAAAGATCTCCTGATGGGGCCTCGTTGGTCCCTATTGCTAAACTGCTTGGTTCAAGTGTGCAAGCAATATAGCAGATGGCATCCAGCATTAGGCTACTTAGAGCAGACATAGTGAAATGGATGGGACTGAAGCTAGTTATGACTAAAGTCCTGTTCATTTGGTGGGATTACTTTATGTAGGACTGATGTTGGATACAACCAATAGCTGGGCATTTCCAACAAAACAGAGATTTTGACATTATGGAACATTTCTTTCTTTATTTTGGAGGCAATTAATTCCTGTAAAGTGCTATCTTTCTGTTACTTTTCTCTTTTTGGCCAGTTCAAGCAACTCATGGGTTAAAGCAACGCTTCTGGGGATGAGTGGGAGAAAGCAAACCCTACAACAACCTATAATAGGCTCATTTGTAGGTTTGGAGAGTGGCATTTGAACCCAGACCAATGAGTTGTTTGGGGCCTAAATCAACCAATATAGTATAGATTAACTGCTTGGTTGTTTAGCGCACGCTGTCCACTCAAGCATGGCAACCCATGGGCTGTTTAAGCCATGGATTGTTGTTACATAACAGCCAGGTCCTTGTGTTGCATGACAAGGCTATCTGCTCCTTTTTGGCTGCAGTGATGCAGGATCAGTTTTGCTGACCCTTTATTGAAGGCCTGGAACTATTCCTTGAACCTTAGAGGATATTTCCTTCCTCGCTGCAGCACAGCTGAAAATCTGACTCAAATTTGTTTTTCTGAGCTGTACAAATAAATTCCCTGCAATACGGATAAGTACCCCTCCCATGTATTGCCTGGGGATGGAGATCCTGCCATTGTCATTGAAATGGCCCTGTGGATTAAAAGGTGGAAAAGCCATTTCCTCCCTCTTTATAAGTTAAAGATTGTTCTAATTTAGGATAATAAATAAAAGCAACAGTATACCAATAGGAACAGGAAGCTGCTTTCCATGGAACCATAATTCAAAGGAGCTCCTCTCATTATTGATCATGACTGCAGTTTTGTAAATTGACAATTATGGTAATGACATAAAATGTTTGCAAGCTTCTGATGTATTACACGCAAGAGAGAGCAAATAGCCTGAAACCTCATTTATGCTTACCCGCAAGTAAACAATGCTGAATGCAGAGGAAATTCATTTAAAGGATTGCATAGTTAGGTTGCAATCCTATACCTTTACTTGGGAAGACGTTCCATTAACATGAATATAACTTACTTCTAAGTAAATATGTATATGCATACTGTGTTAATTTATTTGATTTCCTTGATTCAATAGTTGGAACAATTTTTTACCAGTGGTTGTGAGAATTAAGAAAACATTTTTGCAGTGTGGATTTGATTGAAATCAAATCAATTTAAATCACAATTTAAATCACAGGTCAGTAAGACTAAATTTAAATCATTGTTTTCTACATAATTTGCATGTGTGCTTGCTGTACCCATAAGTAGAGGAACTTTATTAAAATATTCCCAAAGTAGGTCTCTTTTACAGCTGACTGCCATTATAGGTTTTCTCCTCCAGGGAAACAATAATGCAATAAACCTCAGGCCATACACAAAAGGATCCAAAGGCTTGTGGAGTATTCTCCCCTGAAGGTTTCACTTTCATTTTTACTGCTTGCCGCTCCCGCCTCACACTTAGCTTCTTGTGCAGTTCTATTTCACTACCCAAAATCTTCTTCTATTCATTGAATTTTTTGAAACTGAGCACTTAACTCTTGGTAAGGGATTGATTCTGTGTGCATAGATTTGCAAAAGAACAGTGGGGTTAAGTTCTTTTTCTCAACTCTGTATGTTTATTTTATAACATTTTTGCTGTGAAGAAGATGCATGTGATCTCTGCAGACACAAATTCACTGTTTTGAGAACTGCAGAACCAAGCATCTGTGATAATATCTTCCAATCAGAAAAACTGTCCAATAAGCTTACAGAAACCTCTGGAAGAGCATGACATTGTGACTGGATTAATGGAATTCATTTGCCTAAACATTTAAACATTGGATGAATATACAGCCTCATGCTACATAATTAAAAACTAATCCTTATTACATGATGAATAACCTTTGGAGTATAATGTATCTTAAACAGGAAACTACCTTTAGATAGATTTTTCCTCAAAAAGCACTTTATTTAAAATAAACCTGATTTAAAGTAAAAATCCAATTTAAATTAAAAAACACATTTTTAATTTTTATCCAGCCCACATTATTGTCTATATTTGTGAACTGTTTTTTCACTCTTAAGCTTCTGAAACAGGGAATGGAAAATAAATATTCTGGGTTGCATAACATGACAACCCATTGTGGATGATAAGCCATGGTGGGTTGTCAGCCCAGACTACTTGCTGAAGGGTGGCTTGTTTGTGGGCAAAACAAGTCACCCTGACTACCCATGGCTTGTAACTTAAAGCACAATCCCATACCAGTTTTTTTTTTTTTGTTTTAAAGAAGCATACAGTTGTGCTCTTAAGTAATTTAAAATAAACAAAGGTTTGGTACTCTGAAAAGAAACATTTCTGTTCACATTGGGCATAGGCTGCTTAGGACCTTCTTCTGTCTAAACGTGCATAAGATTGTACTCTTAATTGCTTTTCTTTGGATAAAAGAGGTGATTGATCAGCTAACAACCTTTTTTCCAGAGGACAGCTCTGCTTCATTTAATGTTTGCTTTGCCTGTTCAGAAACTGTAGACATTAACTGTCCTTTTTCATTTCCTTCAAGAAGCAGAAACTTGTGAAACAGCTGCCCCTAGAAAGCCTTTGCTTAGAAACTGACTCTCCTGCTCTAGGTCCTGAGAAACAGGTAAAGGATCATCTGTACTCCTAGGTCATCAAGATCAGCAATAGCAGCCAAAAGGTAATAGGCTGTGACAAAACAGGTGATACCAACTGAAATTCAGGAAGGTGACAAGACACTGAGGAGTAAAGAAGGGAGAAGATTCTTAAGGGGTGGCACTACAAACTGCCGAGCATTGGCTGGTTGGATGAGTGCCGAATAGAGCATCAGCCTTCCCCAACCTGGTGCCTTCCAGATGTTTTGGACTTCAACTCCCATCAGCCCCAGTCAGTGGTCAGGAATGCTTGGCGTTATGGTGTAAAACATTGGGAGAGCAAACAAGGTTGTGGAAGGCTTTTCTGCAGGAAGGCATGTCTGAACTGCTAGGCATGACGTAACCCCAGGTGTGAGAATACAGCAGGGATGCCCACAGGCTGTCGCAAATACCGGAGGCTTCACCCATGCCGCACTGGTCCAGCTTTTCTGAGATGCAGCACAGTTCATGAGCTGCCCTTCTGCTGGAGAAGCAGCATGTTGGCATCATCTCCGAAGCCAGGTTTTCCAGAGCCAGACCTTGAGGTAGAAAAGGGGAAGCGGGGAACATGAGGAGCCTGGCAAGTTGCAGGCGTCTGCTGATTGCCTTTTGGCTTTTCCACTACCCACCTATGAGACTCAAAGGCACCTGGGGGAAAGAAGACCAGTGGAAGATGCCGTACGCGGAGTCAGAGCATGCATCCAGCTAACCCAGTGTTCTTGATACTGACTGGCAGCAGCTCTACAGGATTTCCGGCCAGAGTTTTTCGGTACTTGGAGATTCTGTGGATGGAACTGCAACCTTCTGCACCTCCCACATGTGCCCTGCCTCTGAGCATGTAGCCCTTCTTCCTAAGGAGGGCTTGCAAGCTCAGGCCAAGGCGATGTACTGCCTGAGGCAATGTGGCACCACCTCTCTAAGTCCAAGTACATAGTAACCAGGCTGGCCAAATTCTTTTGGTACCCAAGGCAGAAAAATCCACAAGCACTTCTCATGGGCGTAAAAATACAAGAATGCATTAAATAGTTAATTATTTGCTGCCTTTTCATGACACCCCAAAAGAGCCGCCTGAGGTGTGCACGCCACACTGCCGAATGGTACAACATGCCCTGAATGCTGAAGTATTGTTGACTTCGTAGGCAGGTGCTGCAGGCATTAGGGCAGGTGGCAACTTCAGGGCATAAAAACCCTCCTAGATCTTAATAGCTGAAATGGAAGAGGTGAGCAGTAGAGACTAGGAAGGCCTGCTTTCGGGTGAACCAGTGGTGAATGTGCAATTATTAAGGCGCAGAGGATAGCTCAGCTGGAACCCATTTGTCAGCCTTTTGTTCCAAAGCAAATTGAAGTCGGCAATAGGTCTCACTGGAGACCTCCTGTGTTTCTATTTCAGGTGAGGAATGAACCAAAGAATATCTTCATTGCTGCAGAATATGTTGCTAAACTAAAAGGCATTTCAGTGGAAGAAGTTCTAGAGGTGACAACACAGAATGCACAGAAGATCTTCCCCAAACTGAAAAACTTTCTCCGGAAATAGCTTATCTTCTCTTTCTGAAGTGGGAGACCGGCAGCTGACCTGCCCCCCAGTAGCACATGCATCCCTTGGGGCTGAAAACATTGCCACCACCTCCAGTTCTGATGTGTCTTAATCTAAAGCCCTGATTTCTGTGCCATCTTGCTCTGACCTTCATGTGAATGTGACTTCACAGGCTGCATAATTTTAAGTTTGGATGGTTCTGTCTTTGTTTCTTCCATCATTTTATCAATTGAACTGCATCCCACACAATGCCATTCAATTCTGTTTATGTTCATTCAGATTTTTATTCTAAATAAGAACCCTCTTGACTATTGAACTCTTTAAATTTAATATCTGTTAAGGTATTCTCTTTGGGCCTAATAAACAAACATAAAAAGGATCTTGTTTGCTAAAAGTGTGGTTGTGGAGGTTGGGGTGCTTGGAGTAGGGACTCAGGATATCCAGATTCTAGTCCCCACTTGGCTGTGGAGCTCGCTGGGTGACTTGGGCCTGTCAGAGACTCTTAGCCCATCCTACCTCACAGGGTTGTTGTGAGGATAAAATGAAGCTATGTAAGCTACCTTGGAGTCTTCACAAGAAGAATGTGAGATATAAATGGAATGTAATAATAAAGTCGTGTCTATTTCATTTCTTTATGCATGTCATTCTTCAATGTAGTCCAGACTAGCATACACAGTTCTGCAAACTGAAAAGGAGCGTCTCCTTTCATACATGCCTACCCACCCCTTAAGATCTGGGGCAGACACTCTTCTCTGGGTGCCCTCCCTGAAGGTTGGGAGATTGGGAGGGTGACTACCCGGAGAAGGGCCCCAGTTGTGGAATTCTCTCCCCAGAGAGGTTCTCCTGGCACCATCGCTTTATTCTTTTTGGTGCCAGGCTAAAACCTTTTAATTTTCCCAATGTTTTAAGATCTGATTGTTTTAATTGGGGTTTTATTGTCAGTTGAACTTTTTAGGACACTGTGTTTTATTTTACATTGTATTGTTAAACCGTCTTGAGACTTTGGTAAAGGATGGTCTAGAAAAGTTTTAAACACGCAAACAAACGAATATATTGCCTTGTATTATAATTACATTCACAGTCTGCCTTTTCCCCTTTTTCAAGGGGCTCAAGGCAGCCCACACTGTTCCCCTCTCCACAGAAATCCTCACCCACTGCAGCAACCATGTGAGCTGCAGTGACTGGCCCAGAGTCACCCAGTGGGCCACGTGGGTGAAGAGCACAATCCAGAACGCCCGAGTCCCAGTCTGACACTCTTCCTGCTGCGCCACACTGGCCCAGGGCACACAGTGGGAAGCTGTGTCTGGCAGCAAGTTCTCAAAATCTGTATCCTCGGTAAATCAGGTATGTGCAGTCATTGGACAGAGCAAAGGCACATGGATGGACACTTTCTTTGCTTTGGCTGTACATGCATATGAACAGCAAACCTGAAGCTGCCCTCAGTGAGGGAGAAATCAGTCCTGGGACCCCTAGGCATTGCCTGGTTCTCCTCTGCCTCTGCTCCCAGGTGCCAAGCGGGAGACAGTGCTCTGACCATGCAGCTGGGATCTGGAGCTTCAACCACCCTCCCTGTCAGCATAGAAGGCACCTCAGGGCGACAACCTCAGGGAGGGTAAAGGGGCATTTGGGAAGGCAGAGACGAGGCTGCAGAAGCCAAGATGCAAGGTCTCCTGAGGCTGCCCAGCCTCCTTCGCCCACTGAAGTGCTCCAGATGAAAAAATGGCTGTCTAGCAAAAATGCAGAGCAGGGAGGCAAAGAGCGTCTCTGCAGCTGCAGTACTCCAAGTGTGGAGTTTTATAGCCCTCTTGACTGGGTTGTGTGCCACAGGCTCTATCCGATACAATTCTGTTGTCATGCCCCCCTCCCCCCAATGCATATAGAGTTGTGCCCTCAATCATGATTTCAGTTTGAGTGAATAGGAATACAAATTGCCAACCTCACAGATGTATTGTGAAAATGGATGGGAGGAAGAAAGTTAGCACTTCCTGTAGCAGCCACAACAGTAAACCAGCTCTGAAGTGCCAGTGCAATAGCAGCAAATGAAAACTGAAGTGTCAAAAGGTGCTTGTCTCATGATCCTTCATTGCTCTCTTCAGTCATGCACTGAGTCTTTCGCTTCTGTACAGGCTGGCTGGCTGGCTGATTTGTTTATTTAAAGGCCTTTATACCATACCACCCTTCATCCTGGAAACTCGGCAATAAAAGCATGCATTTAGCAATTAAAAGCATCCTTAATAATTTAAAAATACCTGCATGCACGCTATTTAAACACAAAAATGGTAATGAATATATTTCAGTCAAAAAACACTGATTCAAGCCACTGGTTCAAAAATGACAAATTAAATGCTTTCCTAAAAAGAAAGGTCTCTACCAGTTTTCAGAAAGTTAGCAGCAGGAGGAAGAGAAAACCAAGCAAGCAACGTTGTTCTCAATTCTAGCTGCCACTGAAACGCGAAAGAACGAAAGAACGCACCAGAGGTGCAAGCAGCGTGAAAGCAACTTAAATTTATTCATGCGTATGAAGTTGTTTGGGGTTTCAGGTTGGTGATGGGTGGCTCCAAATCTGAAATCTGTTTGAAATACAAACAGGCTTACAGAAATGCACAGTATGTCTATGTACACCTACTAGGCACCTCTATGCGCCTGGGCATTACATCTGCCTGCCAATGTGCATCACAGACCTACTGCCACAAAAGGCCTCTGTTTCTCACATGCTGCTGTGAATGCTTGGAATTGCCTCTCTTGCTTCTTTCATGCTCTTCAACACCCAGTTTTTCAATGCAGTTTTTGGCACAACTGCCAAGTTTTCAAGCCCTATTCTAGGCTACCCAAGGCAGTGCCCTCCTGATGTGCTCACTATAAGGCCCATCATCCTCAGGCAGCATAATCAGTGATCAACTGTAATCCAAATCATTTGCAGGTCACCAGCTTGAAGAACGCTGCCTTCCCCTGACAGCCTGTAATTAAGTCGATGCACACCCAAACTAGAACAAGTGGATACTGCCGCCCCGTTTCCCCTGCTTTTGCTCCCCCGTGCCTTCCATTCCTTTTTCTTGTGCTAAATTTTTAACTGTACACTCCTTTGAGTAGGGACCTGTCCTTTTCCAAATCTGTAAAGCACCATCCAGATGGGGGGTAGTATATACATTTGCATGCATATCTGCTGTCAGTCTGTTTGAAGAAGGAATGCCCTAAAATAAGAAAAATTAAAAATGCCAAAAAAAAAAAAAACCCAAAAGAAAAACAGAACAAAACGTAACATTGGCAGTGATTGTGGCTTGCTGAATACTGTCAAGGATCTCCAGAGGTCATTTGTGTGTTTTCGGCTACCACAACAGAAAGATCATGTTCTATATACAAAGAGCAAACTCACTACATACTAAGAGAAGATCCTTTTGTAGCCAAAACAGCATCTTCCCCGCAACCCCCAGAGTATTAGCACACTTGGAGGAACCCCACGGTTTGCAGAAGTGCAAAGAAGCGGTGGGGGAAATCCCGTAAGGGCAGGGTGAGAACCAAAAGCAGCTCAGGCCTGAACAGGCTCAGGGGTTCCTGAGTGCTGGCTGATGGTTCGGGGGGTGCAAAGGGGGAGAGGCTGGACTGGCTTGAACTCTGACAGGAGCGCTGTGCATTGCAGGCCCCATTTGTGGTTGTTAAGAAAGCCCATTATTTTGGGATAACTGTCAGGGACAACAAAGTTGTGAAATGATGTGAACTTTGGGTGCTGGGTTGGTGATGCATTTTTAAAAAACTGTAACTCTTGGGTATGAATTTTCACCGTTGCCACTCACCCCATCCTCTATAAGGGGCATTCTCAGACACATTTGGAACCCAGAACTGAGGCTGTGTTTCCACTGGAGTAGTAGGACATTTTCCCTGTCCAAATATGCATGGGATATACCTTTAAATATACTGTACCTTTAAATGACAGCATTGTCATGACGACAAGAATAAAATGGCATTCACTTATGCTGCCAAATGCATCTTCTTTGGAATATGCAACATTTTGTTAAAAAGGATATATTTTTAAATGATCAGAAAATGAACATAATAAAATGTGCTTCTGAAAACATACAGGCTTGGCCATCTGGACCCGCCTGTTTTTAAAATAAGAGGAAAGAAAGGGTGCTGTGAGAACCAGCAACAAGCTGTGAGCCTCGGCGGATCAACTACCATCTCCATCATCTGCTGCTCTCTGTGGGGGGCACCTGGGCTAGGGGGCCTAGAACATTGGACCCCAGGGCCAGTCCTTATGCCTCATGGCCCCGGTATAACAGTTGTGGACTGTGTGAGTAGGAAGATGTCTTTGCCCTCTTCTTTATGACAGTGAAATGAAAGCAGAAGCCGAAACAGAAAAAGAAAAGACAAAACAGAAAAAGGAATGTTTTTCTTGCACTCTTCCAGCAACCTGCAGCTAAGCAGGAGTTGTTGCTGGCCAGGCCAGGAGTGAAGACGGCAAGCGACCGAGCTGGCAGCTCCAGTTTCATGTGCCTTCCAAGACAGACATTTTGTGTCCTCTTTTTACCCCGGCAGCTGCTGTGGGATCAGAGGGTCAGGGAAGGTGATTCTCATCTGCTTCCCTTCTCTCTTGTGGGGAGGAAGAAAGGGGGAAAGCATAATGTATGTTTGTATGAAGTAGGGAGGGGAGAGAGGTGGTCTTGGTCCTTTCCAGTCCTGTGATGCATCGAAGTGCCTTAGAAAGGTTCTGAAAGGCAGATTGCTGTTAAAGGTTGTGCAGGACAGCTGCTGCAAAACATGGAAGCAGATGGCACAGTGCAAGGCAACTGAAAGTCAAAATGCATATGCACCTGAAACAACAAAACTCTCTCTCAAAAAAACAAACAAACAAAAAAAAAAACGGTATGGTAGTCTTTGGGAAGGATCTTCAGAGCATTTTTCTTGAGAGCCAGGCTCTGCTTTTAGTTAAACCTTGCACAGGAAGCAGCTGTTCTTGCTAGGACCCAATTGCATTAGAATATGGGTACAAAGCCTTTAAGGGGCGAAATTGGGCTTCCTCCAGGGGGTGACTCCTCCTTTCCCTAACCACTGATCTTTTGGTGGTTTTCTGGCATTTGTGCACCCCCATTCTAAAATATTGAAATGTCACTGCTAAGTCTTAGTTACTGGCAGTACGAGCAGAAAACTAAATGTCCTGGTATTTTTGGCTTTCTGTGCCACTGGAATGCAGGCCTGAGAAGTCTCTGAAGTGGAAATGTGCCCTAAGGGTGAAAGGGGTGCTGCACCCCTTCATGAGAAGAGCTTTACACATTCTCCTTCTGGGCAGGGCGGGTCCTACCGTTAGGCTGAGTGAAGCAGGTGCAGCGAAGCAGAGGGGGCAGCAAGATGCTCGATGACTTCTGTGCTGTAGGCATCGCACAGCCTGCCCTTCCACTTGCCTCTGCTGTTGGATGCGGAGGACAATGTCAAAATAAGGTTTGACCGCCAGGTCATGCAGCTTCTGTACATGAAATAATGAACGGGGGGCATATATTGCCCTCTCCCTAACAACATCTTTCGGGCCAGCCCCGTTTCTTAGGTCTCTTCTTGGCTGTCTCCTAGTTTCTGTATTGGCCAGCCTCTGGAAGTTCACAAGACTCCCTTGTTCCAAGCCTCTCGCAGATCTCCTC